AGTAGCATGAGGAGAAGGATTCAAGCTGTCATCCAAGCACGTGGGGGATACACCCGATACTGATGCCAGACCCATCAGATGTTAGCATGTGACATTCCTTGTGCATCATTTCTTGTAATAGTCAGCCATTGACAATGCTACGACCATACTTGTTCAGTGACTATTTTCATCAAAAATCAATAGTGACCAAATCACATTGGTTACGCTATTAAAACAACACGAATTGGAATCATTGTCTTGTTTTTCATTTGCCAATAGATCGTATGTTTCACAATAGCTAAGGTTCCACTATCTTTGGAATAGTGAGAAAGTTACAGCAAGTTTTGTTTCTCATCATCCAGAAAATCGGGGGGGGGGGGGTGCTTAATTAAGTTCCAGGTGTATATTTAGCACACTGGTACAATGTGTGAAGTCCATTTCTGGTGTCCCCCGCCCCGCCGTGATATTGCTGGAATATTGCTAAAAGCGGAGTAAAACCATACTCACTCACTCACCCAAGGGGTAAAGAGGACGTTGGGTTTAAGGTTTAGTATGACCACAAGGGGTTGGCATGTTGTGTGTTGAAAGCAGGACAGGGAAGGATGAAAGGGGTGATGAAAGTCTTAGACTGTTACCACTCTGGTGAAACCTATATGGCACCACTAGGTTGCCCACTGGGCAAATTTCAATATCAGTGCCTGGAGATTCTGGGATTCAAACTCGTGATCCCTGAATCCTGACTTGCCTAATCATGCAAATGAGACTGACTGACTGACTGAGTTTGGTTTTACGCCGCTTTTAGCAAATTTCCAGCAACATCACGGCAGGGGACACCAGAACTGGGCTTCACACATTGTACCCATGTGGGGAATCGAACCCGGGTCTTCAGCGTGACGAGCCAACGCTTTAACCACTAGGCTACCCCACCGCAGTCTGAAAATAACACCAAAGTTTATAATTAGGTGAATGAAAGAATAATTTGTTAAAATTAAATGAATAAAAACAGATAAAATGACTTGAGCAGAAAGTTTTTGGACTGTATCAAAGTATCACCCATGTGACATTTAATGGACCATATCCAAATAATACAAGGAACATCTTTCATGACATCCCTTTATCTACAAAATAAACCAGTCCCTGTACAATGTTCAAATTCACCTCTCGCAAACCATTCCCTTCTTCCTGGACTACACACACTTGACTTGAATAAACACACATAATGGCCCACCCCAACTCTCTTTTTGCGACCTCCTCCAATTCCATTATGACACATTTTGAAGACAAGTTGTTACAATGTGTATCCAGGATGTGTTGATGATTTGTCCCACAAATGAATGTTCATTAAATCATCCAGATAGCATGGTGTTGACAAACCTAGAAACATATCAGGATGAAACTTGCTTCAGAGGTTCCTGGCATGCCCAAGGGACGCATCTCTGCAGTACCAATTGCAGCACCATTGAAAGCTTGGCCACCTGAGCCCTTCCATCATATAGGTTTTCAGTGTATATTTAAAAGAAATTCCAAAACCAAAAATATTATTGCTATAATTGCATATTTAATACTGCCAATTACATCACACAAATCTATCAGAATATATCTGACAATGCTTAAAGCATTATGATATGTACAGATAGAAAAACACAAAATAATGCTGCCATTAAACACATATTCACTGAGTTCCATTACAAAATCAGGTAAAATTAAAATCATAATTTGCTATAAGATCATGTCAATGGAGATTCTATTTGTAAATGGAAAAAAATATACATATAATTTGGACTGAATTTGCATGAAAGAGATATTCTGGGTCATCATTATCTGATTTGGTATTGACAGTTTTTGGCTTCATAATAATTCACATAAAACACAGAGATTCTTCTTAGCTAACATAATATGCTAAAAACTCATATCAGGCCAGGCCAATTTTATTTCTTGTTTTACAGATCTGCCTGTCGTATTTTTTCAAGAATAAGAAAAAAAATTGAAACTAATTTTCCCCACTCAAAAAATAAAATCCTAATGTTATTTTTGGCCAGAAATGTAAACACACAAGAAATTTTGTTTTTAGATTGTTCTTTTGCCCCATATACACTTCATAAATTGCCAAAAGTAACATACTTTGAGTATTTAGAAGGAATATTACTTTGACAGGTGATTATATTTTTATTTTTCTTCCCTCCTGCCTTCAGATTTTCTGAGGACAAAAATCCGTAAAACAAGAAATATAATTGGTCTGGCCTTGACTAAATATCTTTGACATCAGCAGAGTTGTGAATCTACCATCACTTAAGGATCCAGCAGAGAGTGCACATCCCCCATACTTTCTGTCAGACAGTTTACATGTTAACCACACCCTCAGTGAAGTCACTTTGTGACTGAGGTATCATGTGCATCCCCATTTTCAACATACAGATCGGCCTCTGCAGTATAACTGGTTTAGCGTGGAGTATGCAGAGTAACAGACACATGTACAATGGACTCATGTTACACAAAACCTGTCCACCTATCTCTGTTCTTCATCTGCTGAACACGGATCTTACTCCAGACTGGAAGTAGTATAAGGGTAATGCTATTTTTGAGGGCATTATCATTTGCAGAAGCCCCGAGGTCTTCTGCAAATGATAAAGCCCTCAAAAATAGCATTACCCTTATTATTGCTAAAATACATGGAATTTGCGTTGAAAAGAAAAAGGAAACAGCGAAGGAATTTTACTGTAAGTTTACTCAAAACCAACTTCTGACAGAGTTGACAGCCCGAATGCAATTACGTCATCGAACAATTCAAATGACGTCACAACAGAAAGTGACGATATTCGACCTTGGCCTTTGACAAGACCATAGCCTGCAACATGTCAAACTATGTCAGTGTTCGGTTTTGGTCCAACAGCAACGTTAATAGTGCAATTGTTGAGGTTAGTACCAGCAAGAAAGCCAATATTACCGCTATTTAAAGTGGGAATTCGGGTTGCTTTGACCCAGAATATCTGCCAGTCGAAAGCCAATTAATGTTGAATGAACCGTAAGCCCACGCACCCACTATGACGTCACTTGACAACAGAACTGATAGTGGCCCGTCGTTAAGGTAGAGCGGTCCAATATCATTTGCAGCGGCCTGTAAATTTCTGATAATGGGAGGGCAGTTTCATGATAATTCCATGTATTTTAGCTATAAGGTCTTTTAATGCTGCACTCTTCTCTCAGATATAGTGAGTGAGGAAGTCAGTGAGTTTAGTTGTACACCATCACAGCAATATCCCGGCAGGGCAATGGGCTTCACAGATTGTACCCATGTGGGGCTCAGCTAGAAGCCTGTTGATGTAATTAATGCAGTCTATGAACCAGTGATTGATATGACAAGCAATGATCCACACTGTGAGTGCACATGACTTTACTACGTTACCTCTCACAATAGAGGTAACTGGATGGGATTATTCAAACCAAGATTCCCAATATGGAGTTATATTTACGAGAATATTTCATACAAATTAGGATTTGACTTGTAACCCAAATAATTCAAGGCCTGAAACTAAAGTTCAGAGTTACAACATTCAAAGAATTGGATTCCAAGCAATTTTTTCCCATCTTCATTCAATGAATATATATCTTGAAGACTATGGTGATGTACTTAGTCTTGTTTTTCCAAGAACTTATCCAGGTTTCTAGACCAAGTACTGGGCACACAATTTGAAAATTTTGACATTTTGTTCAAAATTGAATTTGAATTTTCCTGATCATGTAATTTGGTTTTGTAGGTATCCAGTGGTAACCTGTTTCAAAACTGTAGAGGAAGACTGACTGACTGACTGAGTTTGGTTTTACGCCGCTTTTAGCAATATTCCAGCAACATCACGGCGGGGGACACCAGAAATGGGCTTCACACATTGTACCCATGTGGGGATTCAAACCCGGGTCTTCAGTGTGACGAGTCAACGCTTTAACCACTAGGCTACCCCACTGCCCCTGTAGAGGAAGAAGTTTGAATGCTTAGTTTTATATTACGGCGTTGAATGCCATCTCAAAACATGATGTTATACTTGCTTAGAATTTAAGAAATAGTACCCTGCAATGGTGGACTTTGTCAAGACACATATGCATATTAAATCACTAACTGAAAAATCCTAAATTTGCTAATGTATATAATGACATAAGCTGTATACTCAGGGTTGAGTATCATTATCTGAGCACCTCTTTTCAAGTCCTGCCATGTCAATCGTAGCCTACATAACAGGAACAGTTGGAGCATGTAATTAGTTTAAAGAATTTCTTGTTAATCAAATTTTTATTCCCAAAGTGAGGACATGGCAAATTAATGTAATTATTGAAATGATGATATAATTTTTTTTGAAGATTGAAATAATCGGTAATTTTTCTTGTCTGAGAATATTTCCAGCTGATGGAATACTGCTGATTCAGCAGAGACAGAAGTAAATATGTCGCCCTGAAAAGGTCCTTATAAATTATGGAGACTTTAAAACTCCTATTTTAGAAGACCTGAAAGGTTGTGCCAAATGTGATCTAGAATAAGATAAATAATTCACAGCATGTGTAAAAAATATAAGAGGCCCATGGTCAAGTTGAATTAAAAGTTTATTTGTCTAAGGTAATTTCTACTAGCCATGGGCCTCCAGGCAAGCATTCATTTTCATCCATGGATTATGTACTGCTGACTGAACATATAAGGTTATTTTGTTGATCTGTGCAGATCATTTGCAACTTCTGGCTCAAAAGTCATTGTGTATGAAAACTGCTTTTTTGCTCACCTTAAGAATAAACAATTTATGATCAATATCAAACAACTATTGCTGCCACAACCAATTTATGTATAAATCAAAACACAACCAATGATACTGGATTATAAAGCATGTGATCCAATTGGATCATATTCCAATCTCCATACACGGTACACACATCACACTCGTGCACCTATCAGGTGCACAACCAAGATCTCCAGTATATACAGATCTGAGGTCGGTCATGTTCTATGTATCACAATGAGACCTCCCTACACTGGGAACATGGAATGTTAGTCTATGTATTGCAGTAGCATGTCTGTACAATGACGCCTCCCTTGTGCTCAGTCTGGGTTGTCTGTCTGTTTGTCCTCCATCATGGCCGTCACATCCCCTAATTGGCCTCCCCCTAGATCCTCCAGGTAATGTCTGCAACACAAGTTTTAATTTAAATATGTTTTTCATTTCTTTGTTTTTTTAATGCCACACTCCAGTTCAGCAATTTTCCAGCTATATGACACCAGCCTAAATACATCAGTGTGGACCAGACAATCCAGTGTTTGATTTTTTCAACAACGATCCACACAAACAGGATATGATAACAACAAAATTACGCAAAACATCAAGCCAGACCACCTTTTCGTTGAGTCATCTCTCAAACATTGCTGAAATTCCCACAGGGCTCTGCAATTATTCAGTAACTCTTTCTGCTACAACATTCTTCAAATTCAAGCAACAAATTCTCAAGTGACAAGTTATATTACTCTTAAAAGTGTAACCAAATACACGTTTCAGTATTTGCAGGGGCGGATGGGTAGCCTGGTGGGTAAAGCGTTCGACTGCCACGACGAAGACCCGGGTTTGATTCCTCACATCGGTACAATGTGTGAAGCCCATTTCTGGTGTTCCCTGCTCTGATTTTGCTGGAATATTGCTAAAACCATACTCACTCACTCACTCACTCAGTATTTGCCATTAACCTTGAAATGACTGGTCATGAATTTAACATTACACATGTGATGTATATACTCATGCCAATAATGGTTGTCACTCCCTCCCACCCCAACCCACACCCCCCCACCCCTCTCCATTAAAAATTGAAGGGGTGACAACCATTATTGGCATGAGTATATTTCTTAATGTCTATAAAACAAGCAAATGGAAAAAAACCCAATTATCTTATGATCTAAAATATTTCTATGCAAACAAACCCAAGAAATACTTTGTTATAATTAGGGAGGATCTTCAGGTCCTTGTTGCTTTAGTCATGATATCCTTACTTTGAATATTGCTGAGTGCGTAGTTAACAGCAAACAAACACACAAACATAACTACATGTATTTCAAAATTTTTAATTTTACTATGACAAAGATCCAGAGCTCCAGATAAGATTTAGCTCATGTGGGTACCATACCCACTGTATTTTTTTGGAGTGGGTATTATGAATGTTGAGTGGGTTTTTCATTTTCCGTTACCCACTGCTTTCAAATATGTGCGTATTTCAGTCATTTTACTCACCTAAGTATTATGTCATTGAGTAAGTTTACTAAGCAGGTATGTTCTGCCTTATGTCATACCTAATCAAAACCAACTTAAATATAATGGAAATGATTTCCTAAAAAATCCCTCATCCTATATTGACAGTACAACACTAGTCCTATACTAACAGTACAACTTGATAGCAATCGATGTCTTTTTCATTAAGCAAGCGATTTTTATAAATATATTCCGTACGCATTTGTTTTAAACATTTTGCGTATCTAACATTTTAAATGCGTAATTGGTACGCAACAATTATTTTTCAATGCGTAATTGGAAATTTTCTATGCGTATTTTACCCGGATACGCAGCTTATCTGGGCCTCTGAAGATCTACTGACTCAATTTTGATCACCAACAATGTACATATCACTGTACTCACTTCTTCAGCAGCGATGCCTCACTTAAAGTATTACTGTTCATGCTTTCCTCAAAATAGTCGTCACACGCCTCCACGTCCCGCGCCTCTCTGGCCTGGTGAACCAGCTCCTCCAGATCCTGTAAAGATGTGTCCAGTCAGTTACATGGAACAATGTATATCAGAAGTTGGCTTGATGATAAGTCACAGGGTTGTACAATACCTCACCTAATTCCAAACATGTCAGCCTAATTTTAGAAGTTCTAAAATGCAACACTCAGAAAAGCATATATTGTGTCTCCAGGGACGTACAATGATAATCACTGTACCTTATTCTGGCACAAAACATAAAGGTCCTGTAAATAGAATATTTGATAAACCTTAAACTTCTCAAAACTACACCATTTCAATAGTTATGAGGCATACATATTTCCTGTAACAATAGTGAAATGAATTATTAGGGTGCCGTTGTTCAAAACAACCTTATAGCGCTAAGACTACCTTAAGTCTATGTTAAGGTATGGGAGTTACGGTCACCTTAGCGCTAAGACTACCTTAAGTCTGTTAAGGTATGGGAGTTACGGTCACTTTAGCGCTAAGACTACCTTAAGTCTGTTAAGGTATGGGAGTTACGGTCACCTTAGCGCTAAGACTACCTTAAGTCTGTTAAGGTATGGGAGTTACGGTCACCTTAGCACTAAGACTACCTTAAGTCTGTTATGGTATGGGAGTTACGGTCATCTAAGCGATAAGACGACCTTAAGTCTGTTAAGGTATGGGAGTTACGGTCACCTTAGCTCTAAGACTACCTTAAGTCTGTTAAGGTATGGGAGTTACGGTCACCTTAGCGCTAAGACTACCTTAAGTCTGTTAAGTTATGGGAGTTACGGTCACCTTAGCTCTAAGACTACCTTAAGTCTGTTAAGGTATGGGAGTTACGGTCACCTTAGCGCTAAGACTACCTTAAGTCTGTTATGGTATGGCAGTTACGGTCATCTTAGCTCTAAGACGACCTTAAGTCTGTTAAGGTATGGGAGTTACGGTCACCTTAGCGCTAAGACTACCTTAAGTCTGTTAAGGTATGGGAGTTACGGTCACCTTAGCGCTAAGACTACCTTAAGTCTGTTAAGGTATGGGAGTTACGGTCACCTTAGCACTAAGATCGCTTTGTACAACGGCATCCTGGACCTCAGGTTTTGTAAGTCACAGTAAAATCCTGTCAAGATTCAATACTTTCCTCAGGAACTGAAGCCATACTGAAACCATGGCAGCTGGATCAAACCGCTATCAACAGAATTACAGTTACATCACAGTTACATGTCTGAAGAAAACTTGATGTGACCCAGATCTTAAATGGTTAAACTGGACAACCTGATCTAATCTCTGCCTTAACAAACCAGCCAAAACATCTTACCTCACTGGAATCATATTCCTCAAAGTCATCAGCATAATCAGCATCAGATTCACTGCCATCCTTGGCCTCAGGAAGCTCTTGTATGTCTGAGATGAGAAAGGTAATCAACTAGTTATACCTCTCCCATAAGCATGAAAGTGAAGTTGCTGTATAACACTGTACGATAAACACATGTTAAAGATGGACATTGATGTTAAGTTATATGTCATCCACTATCGAAAATTAGGTGACACTGAACCACGTGCGTCTCGGCTCTTTCAATCAAAAGATATTCAGTCAGTAATGCACAACAATTTGTAAAGTTTGTCAGGCTTACTCACTTCTGACACCATGTTAAGTTATATGTCATGTCTGGTGATGTCCTAGGAAGACTCCATAACATAAAACTGTGGTGGGAGACGATCACTTTACTCCATGTTGGTTTTGGCGTACACTGACGCACGCTGCCCATGGACCAGTCATTGTGTACAGACTCTTAGGGAGTAATCATTATGCAACAATTGAGTCATTCGACGTGATCTCAGCACTACCACCGTCAAAACAATGAACTTAGTTGTAAGAGAACCAGAAATATCTAAATATTATGTCGGTTTATACTTCATACCAACCTTCTTCAATTTCAGAAGATGATGACTCATCAAAATCATCTGAATATTCTGCCTTATCTTCTCCTGCAATGGTAATGATGACAGGGAAAGTTGCAAGTCCTTATAAACAATGAATTACTCATCTTCATTTTCTCTATTCTTATATTTGGGATGTTCCACAAGGTATTGAACACTACACAACTATTACATTGTTTTAGGTTTATGTGAAGTGATGGTAAAAGGCAGTAAATGACTAAAACATCTGCAGAGTGCTATGGTGGCAAGATTGTAACAGGAAGTGAGGTTTAGAGTTACCTCCCTTGGTAGTTGACAAATACAGGACAGACTGATGAGAAGTTTCATCATGGGGCAGTTTCTAGAAGTTTGGCTGTATCTATATTGCATCCTATATCAAGGCTTTCTACCATTATCTTCTTGTTGGTTTACTAAGGCTGAAGGGGTTGTCGTCAGCATGGGCTCAGGTATACAAAAATATAACAAAGCAAAAATAAGTCTACAGAAGTATGAGTACATTTCGTGTTGCACCGTGCACTTATTCAGAACTGTCATACTGTCATACACAAGCAATGCATTGGATTGCGTTAAATAAGAAACGAGCATACACTGTGACAAATATTTCACAACTTGAACCGATTTGGGTTTTGGGTTGAGGAATATGGACTTGTCCACCGTTTAGGGTACAGGTACATTTTTATATTTTGACTTGTGCCGATAACAACCCCATCAGCTTTACTTAAAACAATGAATTCCTGTTACAACACTCCTGATAGCACAGCCTCCTTCAAGACATCTAACAGTGACAAATTTCTGACATTCATGACAACTGACACATTTATAAGACAACTTCTTCTTCATTGTATTACGGGACGTTTCTGGGCTACTTCTTGCCCCTTCTTCAGCCCAGTAGAAGTAGCCCAGAAACGTTGTATTATACAATAAAGAAGAGGTTGCCATCCATGTACTCATCTTATATATTCACTAACTTCTAAATGCCTCTCAAGAATCTGACACATTCTATAACGCTTGTTCCTTATCGCCACTGAAACCTGAATTTGATACATGGAAACTCTTGGGAAGGCATTTTACATTTATATTAAATGGCATTACCGCATATATTGCCAGAATAGTTTCAGAAACTATAACCTTCCACCTTGTTTCCTATGTCACTGAGTGTTGCTTTTGAGACAGTTATTCCTGACTGATCTGCTCCCTCCCTCCCTCTTCAATGCCTAATCTGTGTCAATCAGGGCTGGGACGGGTAACCTGCATACCCGGGTCGGTCGGGTAATGAGTTGGACCCGGGTACCCGTCTCAAAACCAGGACCCGTTATGATCATGTGACAATTAGATTAAACAATGTAATATGTTATTCTTTCATGATAAAAAGGCTGTATTGTCTCTGAAGTTTTAGACATAATTACAGTCACTTCTTTTGAATCAAATACATGGTTAAAATATTGCAAAAAGTCGAAATTTTAGCCTCTGAGCTAAAGAATATATTGCCATTTCTAACAAATTTGATGTCAGGAATTAACATAACGGGTATCCGGGCAGGGTAAGGTAATAGTGTACCCATGTAGAAAATTTGGACCCGTCCCAGCCCTAGTGTCAATACAGTTCCCTATAGCCTACATCCAGATGTATTACATAGCACTACTTCAGGAATGGAAGGTTCTGGTTGTGTGTTGTCCTCTGTTCCTCACTCATCACTTCAGTTCCTAATACTGACACTACATACCTTTTTCACTCGTCACGCCGAAGGCCCGGGTTCCATTCCTCACATATGTGAAGCCCATTTCTGGTGTCGCCCGTCGTGATATTACTGGAATATTGCTAAAAGCGGAGTAAAACCAAACTCACTCACATACCTTCTAGCTTGTTACCAGGTCTGTAACTGAGAGGTGCTTCTGGTTGGTGAGACGGGGATTTCTGACTTTCTGTTGCCCTCCTACTGACTCTAGGACTTGGTCCACTGGAGGACTTGTCACTGGGTGGACTGAAAAACAAAGCATCTTGAGGTCACTTGCCAAAAGTTCTCATTGGATATTACCACGGTATGATTTTTTTTTTCACTTACCTACACCAGGTGCAACTGAGCGAATTAATCTGGTTGCACCATCAAATATTGCTTGCACCATGTTATTACCAATCCTATTGCTGGCACAGACAATTCTTTATCAACACAGAGGGATATTCATCACCAGCTTCATCATCTCCATAAAAGCTCACATTGCTTAATGTCTGAATGTGTTGATAGATTGTTGCTTAACTGTTATTTTTATTCTTAAATCTAATTATTTGACAAAATTAGCTTGTCCACCATACAAGTGATTTACTACACAGCGACATCTGGTCTTCCATGAAATGTCATAAGGTAACTGATAAATGAGCATAGAAACGTTTTTGGGAGTTATGGTAATAAATTCACCTGATACACATACTAGAAGAAGACTTATTTAATGCTGGAAATTTATACCTATGCACTTGTGTTGGAAAAAGTTACCTGCACTGGGTTAAATTGACAGTAAAAGTAACCTGTACTGGCAATGATGTACCTGTGCAGCCTGGATATAATTACGAATATTTATAACATGCTTTTCCAGGCTTCATATCCTCAAAGTGCACAAAGGATGTGTTAAGCGCACAATCTGATTACCATTACCCCAGATTACCCAAGCAGCCTGTGAGGCGCTAAAAGGTTAATAGTCATGACTTATCCTGAATGGGTACCCGGTGGGATAAATGATATGACTTCTAGCACCTCACAGGTAGGTAGGGTTATCCGGGGTAATACTGACTGACTGACTGAGTTTGGTTTTACACCGCTTTTAGCAATATTCCAGCAATATCACGGCGGGGGACACCAGAAATGGGCTTCACACATTGTACCCATGTGGGGATTCGAACCCGGGTCTTCGGCGTGACGAGCCAACGCTTTAACCCGGGGTAATAATAGTGTTAGTGCCTTGAGTATGCACTTGGCACATAGCAGAAACCATATTGCTGAATGAGAATGACTGAGAGCACAGGAAATAAATACCTACCACAAGAGCTTGTCCTTGTTGACCAGGCTATCAGCAAGCAGCGACTGGCCTAAAGTGTCACGGACACTCCTCTGCTGGAACAGTGTCTCCTTCTCCTGGATGAAGTGTCCCAGATGGGTCTGCACGTACGGCAAGTTGAGGATGGCACTGGCACTGAATACACAAACCATACAACAGGAGTCAGGTGCTGCATAGTCAGTTTACTGAGTTTAATTAAACAGCAATATTCCAGCAATATCAGGCCGGGGGACAGCAGATATCGGCTTCACACAATCCCATCCAGGTCTTTGGCATGACGAGCAAATGCTTTAAACACTAGGTGACCCCACTGTCCGTCTTGTACACATAAGCAGTGGGTGAATGAATATTGTTTGTTTTGTGTTGGTCATCAATATCATGCATCCTCGATAATCTCCAGGCTATACGTTCCGATAAATATCCACTATACCCTGGATGCATCTATGACCGGCTTTTTATCCAATCAGGTGTCTATGCTGGGAAGTTGAGTGTACCAATCACAACTCGCTTTCGCTTTTTAAATTATCAAATTAAACTTGGCAACATAATAATATATTGTTGCAGAGGTACTCTGAAAGAGGTAGAAGGAGTTCTTGCATATATTTTTTAAAGATTTCAGACCTGTCAATTTGTCTGTATGTTTTCCCCCCTGCGAACAAACTTTCGCGGCTACGACTGCTATCTTTGTTGACACTGGCAAGCTCGGTTGTAACGGCGGCTTATCAGATTGGCTACTGTGAGAATGCGGAGTCAGCAAAGGGAGGTAATAAAATCATCGGCTCGAGCTGTAGATGCATCCAGGGTATCGTGGAGATTTATCAAAACATATATCCTGGAGATTATCGACAATGCAATATCATATATAATTTAGTCTATTCCAGACAAACCAGAGACTGACTGGTATCCAGACATGGGGTAATTGTAATTTGTAATTGTAATTGAATGTAGTTAATTACCAAAATCTATGTAATTGCATGTAATTTGTAATTGAATGTTCAAAATGTAATTTGTAATTGTAATTGAATTAATTAATATCTCAATGTAATTGAATTTTTCAATTACTTTTTCAATTACATCAAATTACATCTCACTTTTTTAATTTGGTGGTCATCAGGCAACCCTTGCAATTATATTCTGTACAATAAGGAGGACAAAGCAGTGTTTTTCAATAAGATGCTTGTTGTCGGTATATAATCTAGCAGGTGTTAAGTTTGGAAAAAGATTTGAATGTCTAAGCCTTTGTAACTAGCACATTTGTGAAACAAAGGGAATCAGTAACGCATGACTGAATGTAGGTCGGTATTTGAGGAAATGGGGGATTAACAGTACTATTAGTCAAGTTCCTATCAAAATGGCCTGTTTGTTTATTTCTCATAGAATATGATATTCAAAATCTTACTGAACTGTAGTCCTATTTTTATAATCATGAAAGGTAATAAGCCAGAAATCCAAGTTGACAAATCCTTTAGTATGTTCATGAGGATTATGTCAGATAGAGAGACCGGCTGATTATATATTGTAATGTAGGCCTGTAATGATGAGTCATGATACAGTACACCTAAGGTAACAGTGGTGGACAAAGTGTTTTTTGCAACAAGAGATGATAGAGGCGTGTATTTGATAATAAGCCCAAAGAAATATGCAAAATACAAATTTGATCAAATAGTGTACATTGTAGATATTATCTAATTTTGCATTTCACTTTTTGATGACAAAAATATGAATTGGATTTAGTGACCACTGTTTACCAACATTGATATCTTGTTGATTAAAGGAATACAGATATATATTTGTTTTGTTTTTGTTTTGTTTTATTAACAAAGTAATTTGTAATGTAATTAATTACATTGGTTATGTAATTGTAATTTAATTAATTACATTTTAATTTAAGGTGTAATTGTAATTGTAATTGAGGAAAATCAAAGTAATTGTAATTTAATTAATTACATTTCAAAGTAATTGAACCCATGTCTGCTGGTATCATAGATTAATCCTGTTTTCTCAATACAAGATACCACAGACCTGGCCACCCAATGCCCTTTGTAGACAGGTCATAGCAACAATCTTATATGAAACGATAAGATCAGCAGTGACTGTTTTAATCAACAGGGTTTCATTGTGTTTGTAAACATCTCATCAAACATTGTTTAAATACTTCCTGACATACCTGGGTCTGTCCTCTGGTGTCTTCGCCAGTAGTGACTTCACCAAGTCCCGCAGCTGCTGAGAGTACCGTGACGGAGGAGGCTGAAACAGTTCCGGTCACTCAGTCACAAGCGTTCCAGTAACAATGTGTATACTATAATGTAGTGTTGGGAATTGGTTAAAATCTCATAACTGATGATTGGTTCATTACAACCGATCAATCATCGAAAATAATTGGTTTGCGTCATTTATCAAATGTTCCTGTTATCTTTGTTAATGCACACACAAAAAATAAAGAAAAAACATGTAGTAATTTGGGTCTTTTGCATATTGCACAAAATCCATTGGCAAATTTCGCATATTTAAAGGATGATTATTATGTTAGGAACACAGAATTCCTGGATTCTTTAAGATAACTTCAATCATGACTTGGAACGAGATTGTAGTGCTTATGAAATGTAAATTTAATGACAGACAAAACCAACCTTGTGTAAAATATTGTTGATGCAAACAAGTGTTCCAAAATTGGTTGTGTTTCATAATGAGAAAACACAATCGATTGCTTGGTCGTTTAGGCACTGCGACCAATCTTTGATTATTTCAAATAATCAGACCACCACTACTATAATGTATGAAAACAATAAGTTACATCCAAAATAGTACTGCTGTGTCAAGTCTAATACTAACACGAATAACCAGCATATGTTAATCACCATATCGATAATATCCTGGACATTTTTCCCACCATTGCTTTGTTTCAGAAGTGACGCTACACCTTCATCAATACTATCTTCAACTTAGACAGAATTTCTCCCACTCTTGACTGCAATTTGATTGGATGGCTATCACAGCAACTTGCACTTTCACCGGGGTATTAATCATGATTTTGAAGCAGTAAACATTTCCTGAGTCATGTTATGGGATTTGAACCGCAGACCTTCTGAACTGAGGTCTAATTGCCTTGTCCACATGACTAAAGGGGTTAACCCCACAGCAAGCTGACAAGGTAAGGGTGTCACCTTCGGGATGACTCCTCACCCTGCTACATACTCCCCATCAAAACAAGACAAGTCTACACAGTGGAACAGGCAATAGCTCTGCATAGTGTTAAGTCAACATCACAATCGTGTATAGGTGAGGTGAGGTGAGGTGAGGTGAAATTGAGATTAACGTCGTGCTTGAGAATATTTGGCTCATATGACGACGTGCATGCATGTATATGTGGATGTGCAGCTGCTTGTACTAGCCCAGACTTAAGCTGGTTTTATAGTGCTAGCCCACTGAGATACCATGCTGCAGTGAAGCATGAATACCCCACTCAGACACATTATACTGACTCCGAGCCCACCAGTCCTTGTTATACCCATTAATGCCAAGCGCCAGGCAGGGACCAACAAGTACCATATTTTAACATCTTTTGGTATGACGCGGTCGGGGATTGAACCCGCGACCTTCCGCTCTCCGGGCGGACGCTCTAACCACTACACCACGGAGGCGGTCTCATGTATAGGAACAGCATGGGGAGACAGTTTGCTCAGCCAGAGCAATGGAGTGAATGGATCCAGCAGATCATCCTGGGATCTTAACTGAGGATGTGTTGTTTGAATTATGATGCTTCTCTATTTAACTGAGTCCCAAGTTCCCCGAACTATGCTGGTTCAAGTGATAGGTGACTCAGCAGCATCCTGCATCAATGACTTGTTAGAGATTAATGGATTTTAATAATCTCTAACAGTACTGCTTGTTCTTAATAATAATGAGATTATTAAAAGTTTCAGATATTTTGTCATGGGACTCATGATTTGATGCAGATTAATGAAAATCGTATTTATGTTTTGCTAGGTCTACATAAACATTATGAAGAGTGAAATATGTCTGTTTATAAATGAGTATAAAACTGTATTAAGTATTCTATATATCAGTAGGCATCTGAAAGCAATGACACAAACATGCTGCATTCCTCAGTACTACCATCTTCTTACATATACATTTATAACTTGGTAAAGTATTATAAGCTGTATGCTTCTTTCCAGGGTAATACGGTCTGATGTACGCCTCTTTGTAGCAGTGTCACCCGAGTCGGTAGGCGAGGGATGACACTGCTACAAAGAGGCATATATCAGACCGTATTACCCGAGGGAGAACCATACAACGTATTTATCTTACTGCCATGTTAAATTACAAAATATCATTTTATTTTATGTTAAAGATCGCTACCGACTATATGACATGCAAACAAAATGGAGTCTGCCTCCCGACTGGATTTTAAACATCAGTGAAACATATTCTGACAAGCATAAAACTGCTATAAAAATTGTTAATTATGTTAAAGCTGAGTGTGCAAACCACTCAATGTATAAAATAGCTTAAATAAAGCAGTGAAAGTTGGTAAAATAAATCTGTACAAAGTGAACACAAAAACAGCTGATCGAACGGTTTTCGAACTCCAGGCACGGCATGTGTCATATTATGACGTCATACGATTGTAGAACTTGGAGAACTTGGCGGTTACCGTGGCAGCGGATAATATTTTTTCCAGTTCTTGTCAAACCGTCATTGACCAATGAAATTAAAGTATTTTACATGAAGGTAAGATAATTAGTAAAACGTGTTTACCACAAATTCTGCCTTAACAATCTTGTAGAAGAGACTGAGGATGTTTGGGGCATCAAACGGAGTACAGAGAGCACACAGCTCGTACAGGATACAGCCCAGAGCCTGGATAGACAAAACACACGTTAACTCCTTTTTTGCATATTCATCCAGGAAAAAATGTTCCTCTGATTATTTAAAACAAAATACTTGCACAGAGTTTTGAAGAATTAGTAAAACATTAATAATGGTAACATCAATGATTTTTATGTCATTTGATTGTATCCCCGGCACAATTCAAATAATGGTTAGCTTTTCAAATGACAATCTCGTGTGAAGAATGTCTTGTGGGGGAGAAGTCAGAGTTCTAATTTGCATACTTAAGTCATTGGGATGACATGCTACTTTCCACCATATAGGTGGAATATTGCTGAGTGTGGTGTTGAACAAACCAACCAACCAACATACGTAACGTATGTTATATTTGGGATTACACTTTCTTAATAAAATACTGCGGTGGCTGAGCGGTCTGGGCGTCTGACTTTGTGTGGTGATTAGGTGCTTGACTCTGAGGGTGTGGGTTCGAATCCCGGATGGGACTCAACCCAAAAAGTACTAGAATCTGTACTTTACTAAGCAAGTGTAATCCCAAATATGACATACATTACATTTGACCACTTTCTAAAATGGCATGGTGTATTTCATAACCAATATGCAGCTTTATCTCAAAGCTCATGTTAAGGGTAAAGGCTTTAGTAAAATGATAAACCAAATTCACTACCTCACTGTTTACTTACCCAGATGTCTGACTTGGAGTTGTATGGGATATCCTGGCACACCTCTGGACTAAGATATGTTGGCGTCCCAACAACTGTTTTGGCTACATCAATAGTACTGTCTAATGTCTTGGAGATTCCAAAATCACCTGTGCATGAAACAGCATGTTTCAATGTTTGATTGTTTCTTGTTTTACGCTGCACTCAGCAATATTCCAGCTATATGACGGCTGTATGTAAATAATCATGTCCGATCCAGTGTCCAACAGTATGAGCATTGATCTGCGCAATTGGGATACGATTACATGTGTCAACCAAGTCAGCGAGCCTGAGGACCCGATACCGTTAGTCGCCTCTTATGACAACCAGGATCTTCACGGGTGACCACCCAAACAAGCTTTAGTCACCTCTTGTAAGTACCTCAAGAAGACTTTACATAAAATTTCCATTGCGACCACTCTCAGAAATAAAATTCCTTCCAAACTGAACACAGTCTTGCATTAAAGAACAACTCTCACAAAGTGATTGTTTCAGTTTAGTTCCTCTGAAGGGTTAAAAACCCAAATATTGGTAAACAATGCAACAAAACAAAATTGTTTCAAAACACCACAACCCAATGCAGTGATAATATATCCATAATCCAAATTAACTTACCTATCTTTACTACATTTTTCTTTGTCAGAAAAATATTCTCCGTTTTCAAGTCTCTGAAACATAAAACAGAATTAAGAATTTTGAACATCTCATAAGAAGGCTAATCACAATCTCTCAAAGTGATTCCAAGATAAAGCCATTTTGGAAATAGTGAAACAGAATATTGCTCTCTCATTCACTCACTCACTCAACAAGCACACAGCAGGACCTACTCTGCCCCAAGGTCTTCATTGAGGGCTCACAGACAGTTACTGAGTTTGTTCTTACAAGCATTAGGTATTTGGGGTCGATTAGGTCCCAGAATCCCCACATCGTGACCATAGTCTGTCAACTCTTATACCCCTGTTACACTTGAGGCATTCTCTTCCCACAGAGGTTACTCCTGTCATATCTTCCTACGTAACCTCTGTTCTAATACGGCCCTTTCATAGTGTGAGCGTTCAAGACTCGTGATTGGAGGCAATCAGATTTAGTTGTGCAATCAGCGACGTTGTTTCAAAAGTGATCATTCGCAAGGCCTCGGTAATTTCCGTATGCTTCGAGAAAACTAAACTTCTTCCCCTGCGCGATACGCAAACGTTTCTTCTAGACAGAACTCAGTCATGTTATGGCGGATCAGTGGCGTCTCCATCGCCCTCGTTGACAACGGACAAGCTAGCCATTAAACGTCTTGTGTGTACCAACAACACAAGTCCCCGGAAGATGGGGGATATTTGTGGCCCCACATTTGCTTGTGTTAGTCAAGTTGAATCTAATGTAACACGTGTTCTGATTGGATAGAAAGAAGGGAGATAGTTCGTGTTGCGATCTTTTGCCGCTAGGGGATTTTACGAGAACCGGGAAATATGGCCGTATTAGAACAGAGGTTCGTAGGAAGATATGACAAGTAACCTCTGTGGGAAGAGAATGCACTTGAGGAGGAATGAGATGGAATGCTGTCGGAATGAAAATTCCTGGAGATTCCTGGAAATTCGAACTGCATTCTAAAACTTCTTACTGCATTCCAAATGCATTCCAACTATTCAGGTAAAACTTTTGAGATACATTCACAGTGGAAAAATATCAAAAGGTATTTGAAGTGTATTCTTAGTATTCTTACTGCATTCTGAGCAGAACATATTCGAGGGAGAATGGACAAGGCAAGCTACTTAAAATCCTGTCAGAATGTCCCGAATACACCTTGAATGAGTCGGAATGTATCTTGATTGCTGCTGGAATTCAAGTGGAATATTCTTCAAATGTATCGGAATATTTCGATTGCAGTTGGAATACAGCTCGAATGTACTTCGAATACAGTCAGAATGTCCCGAATGCTCTTCAAATGAGCCCTGACGTCATCAGAACACCGCCAAATCGCAAAAAACGTGGCCATCTGTCACTGAAATATCAGATAGCATTTGAGAGTCACCAGTAAAATGGTATTCTTACAAAGCTTGAAAAGATTGTTTATTTTGACATTCTCTCCCAAATGCGGTTCGTATTTTGGAAATATTTTTTTCTGGCCGTTTCTCCTTGATTCCTGTCAATTCAAAATAAGCTCTGGGCAGTGGGGACCTATTCTCATCGGTATACCCATGAACAGCTCATAGTCCATCAGCTCTTACCAGATCTAGGCAGTGGGGACCTATTCTCATCGGTATACCCATGAACAGCTCATAGTCCTTCAGCTCTTACCAGATTTAGGCAGTAGGGACCTATTCTCATCGGTATACCAATGAACAGCCCATAGTCCATCAGCTCTTACCAGATCTAGGCAGTGGGGACCTATTCTCATCGGTATACCCATGAACAGCCCATAGTCCTTCAGCTCTTACCAGATCTAGGCAGTGGGGACCTATTCTCATCGGTATACCCATGAACAGCTCATAGTCCTTCAGCTCTTACCAGATTTAGGCAGTAGGGACCTATTCTCATCGGTATACCCATGAACAGCCCATAGTCCTTCAGCTCTTACCAGATCTAGGCAGTGGGAACCTATTCTCATCGGTATACCCATGAACAGCTCATAGTCCTTCAGCTCTTACCAGATCTAGGCAGTGGGAACCTATTCTCATCGGTATACCCATGAACAGCCCATAGTCCTTCAGCTCTTACCAGATCTAGGCAGTGGGAACCTATTCTCATCGGTATACCCATGAACAGCTCATAGTCCTTCAGCTCTTACCAGATTTAGGCAGTAGGGACCTATTCTCATCGGTATACCCATGAACAGCCCATAGTCCTTCAGCTCTTACCAGATCTAGGCAGTGGGGACCTATTCTCATCGGTATACCCATGAACAGCTCATAGTCCATCAGCTCTTTCCAGATCAAGGCAGTGGGGACCTATTCCTATCGGTATACCCATGAACAGCCCATAGTCCATCAGCTCTATCCAGATCTAGGCAGTGGGGACCTATTCTCATCGGTATACCCATGAACAGCCCATAGTACTTCAGCTCCTACAAACTCTGGATAGTTGGGACCTATTCTGCCCCGGAATCCTCCTCAACAGCTCATAGTCACAAAGTAACTGACTGACATACCTGTGTAGAATCTTCTTGGAATGGAAATACTGTACGCCCATCACAATCTGCAGGAACCACTGATGAAAACAGGAATAACCTGATTGAATTATCTGATGTTACTATGCATGTTACGACTGAAAAGAACATCAAACACAGGTACTGTTGCTCACCTGCTACATTCAACATAAGCTCAATGTTATATGTTCATAAATCTTTTGTCACGCTAATAAATTCATTTTGAGATAAATTAGTGTTTACATTTGGCTGATTTTATCAGATTTAATGAAAAGAAATCACAAACCTCCATGATCTGCTTTTCTTGAAAAAATTTATTGTCCTGGAAAAAATTGAAATGAAAATTAAATCCTTTATTGTGGTGCATCAAAAAATGTCCTAGAAATATCAATTATTTTGAAAATGGAAATTAAAAGTCCTTTATAAAGAAATCGCTGCTTAAAATAAAGTGTGCCAACATAGGTTTGTTGGCGCCAATAACTGACCATGTAGAGGGCTTTAGGCCCAATGCTGTTTTTGACAGAATTCTGTTTGTGTGACACAGGTCTTGGATATTTATCATCAACTTTGATAAAACGCATCAGCTCTGGCACTGATAAATCCAGCATCATAACGGGATGAATCTGAGATTTGAACCTATGCTCCAAAGAGTGCAAAGGGACACAACTCTGTACAGATAACTTGGTTACCCTAGATTCAGTGTATGAAATAAGGCCCGTCCGACCGCCCGAGACGGGCAAGATTTCTGTCGGACGGTCCAAATTTACAGCTAGTCAGCCCGATGGTCTGGTAAATGTTTTAGATGTTCCATACACCTGAGTAAATTCATCATATTTGGTCTGGTTAAATCTATTTTGGGCTGGTAACATTTTGAAGTTACCAGCCCTGATGTCTGGCTGGTTTTTTGGCTTATTTCAAACACTGCTAGATTACTGGGCAACACATGTACCCCTGTTTAGAATGTCGTACTGATCATATGTAACATAAACTTCAGTTTTTATTTCTTTCTGTTACGAGAGTGTGTTTTTTATGGGGTTTGTAATAACATCGGTAAGGTGATAGATATTATGAGTCACAATGTTAAAGTTTTGAGTGTTGGTTTTGGGTCACATTTCGTGTCATGTATGTGCAATGGCAATAGTATTTTAGCGGTACGCCTTCTGAGAAAGCGCTCCAGAGTTACCTTCCTTGACCGGATGTTTATGCTTTGACTCCCGGTCGTATGTTCAACACGCTTCGAGAAAGATCTAAGTGTTTAATGATACAGCCATGCTTTGCTGGAAAGTTCGAGAATCTGTGTCAGTATCTATAAAGGCTGGCTGTTGTGTTGAGCGACACGCAAGGACTGACACACGGACTAACACACAGAATTACACGCAACTTTCGATATTACTGGAGTTGCCCATCGTTGTTTGCCTTCGTCCTTCGTCACATTGCCATTGTCTGACCCTGACACTTCGTGCCTGACAGCTCTCATTTGTAAACATGCTCCATTTAGAAAATCTGATCTCACTGTGGTTACCACGACTCTGGTGAGTTAATATTTTATATGTGACCCATTACTTTAGATTTGTGACTCAATTGCATTGTACTAGAAATCTGTATTGTGATTCATTGTAGCTTGCTCATTGTTTGCTCAATATTATTATTGAATATTTTAGACTTGTCTGTGTTATATTTTGGTTCAAAGGGGATTCTTAAACCTTTTGTCACGGCAATTTATTAACCGGTAACACTTTCCCATATTATATATAACGTTTTCTTTAACAACAATAACAATTTATGAACTGATCAACTGACTCACTAAAATTCAAAACCGATACACATAAATACTATAAATACCTTTGTTGCATCTTGGATCTTATCCTCAATTGTACCACCATCACAATAGTCCTGAAAACAACAATTACAACAATTATAATGGAAAACACAACAGATGTTGACATTCTATCAAACAACAAGTCTGAACCATATCTACAAAGTAAGGGGCAAACTTTGCTAATTAAGTTAAAGATTTGTTTTTTCATATTTCTTAAAATACTATCCATGATTATATTATTACAATTACGGTTGTGTACAGCGCGCAGAATTTTGCTAGTAATATATTGCAATATCTGCCTTTGTATCACACTGTGCATTGCAATATATTGCCATTAAGTTACTGGTAGTTTTCGAACCAGGTTATTTGATTATTTTTTTTCAAAGACAAAATTAGCACCATAGATTGGATTTTCTTCCTTGTCGTGAATAATGTTGTAGTCTAGATGCTGTGTCGCCATTCAGAACTACAACAATATTTAATCAAGGGAGATAACACTGTAATAAATAGCAGTGCATCCTAGAAATAGCATTTGTCTGAAATTTGCTGCACCAAGGAATTGTTTATCTTTGCTCCTTGATCATAAAATCCTAAGCACTTATTTAAATATTTTTTCCATTTACCTACCAATATGGATCACATACAAAACATATTGTTGAAGTTTTGTCTTGTGCGGTTTTAAAAAATTATCACTAAATATGGTACCAGCTATCCAATATTTATCTGGTTATTCCATAATCAGTATGAACTCTCCCTCAAAAACATGATAAACACATGAACATTTTCCAGTCTATGATTGTACACATTTAAGTCACTCTATGCTCTCACCTGTATTATGACAAGACATTCTTCTATTTCATCACAGAAGCTCTCTTGAAAGGCAACAATGTGTGGGTGCTTTAGTTTCTCCAGAATTCTGAAGGAAAAGAACAAGGCTTGATCAAGAAGATAAATACAAAATGCTGATAGGAATAAGTCTGTCATACAGACCTTGAAACAAATATATCCTAAACAGCCAATACAAGTCTAGATTACAACCGATTTTGGAGAACAGAGTCTATGGACTCTTTTATTATATCTAGACAATTTAACAACTGTTCTTTTTCTCTGAAGCATTTCATTTCAGAGACTAGATCTTAGTCAAATGGGAAACAAGCCAATAGCAAACTTATTGTCCCTTGTTCACCCCCACAAACAAAATTCTGTGATTTAAAAAAGGAGTGTTTTTTGTCCGCACACTTTTATTCACTGCATATCTATTTTATCTTTTCAATATCTAATACTCCAGAAAAAGATATACTTTCTCTATTGACAAGAGAAGAAAATGTTTACCTGGCCTCCTTTATAACTGCATCTCTTGTTCGTGCTTTTCTCCTTTCATCCAGGTCGATCTTCTTTAAAGCAAACATCCTGAAAGTGAAAACAGTATGTGAGTGAGTGAGTTGGGTTTCACGCCGCTTTTAACAATATTCCAGCAATATCATGGTGAGGGACACAAGAAATGGGCTTCACACATTGTTCCCAGAAACATTATGTAGATAGGTACATGAACAGTTGGTTCAAACTGGTTCAATAATACAACAGTGAAACTATCTGTCCTGCACTCATAATCATTTAAAATTTACCATAACTGACAATGTGTTTTCTGAGGGCCATACCTGCCATACATCAACCTTCACAATTACATTTGTAAACAAATCAAATATTATTGGCTAGTTCAAATTGTTCATCAGGCAGATAGCCTGTTAAAAATTATTTAATTCATTAATATCTTCACTTAAAAGAAAATTATAACAGCCAAGCTAGGATAATTCATGAACATAATATTTTATCAGTAAGAATGATTATGATTCTGCACTTGCTGACCTTTTTGTATCCTTATGTCTGACCAGGTACACCGCACCACATGACCCTGAGCCAAGACGCTTGATAGTTTCATACTTGTCCATTTTGTTAACCTGTTATATCATCTCATCATGTTGTTTACCTGTTACAGACGAAAACACACACATTAAAACCAGATAATTTGATATAATTCGATACATTCATGTCTTCTTCTTTGAAATCGAGATTGATATTTTTTGTATTGATGTGTCCATGGACTTTTATTTGATGATTAAGATTTGAAACTTTACATACATGAAGTTCTTCCTAACCAATGGCTTTGTGCACCTCTGACAGCTCTATTTTGTCAATTAGAAGTGTATAAATTTTGTGCAAGATGCTGACACAGCAATTAACCTGTATAATTATCCTGGTATGATAAGTCTTCAGACACTTAAAGATACATATGGTGTTATCTTGCTAATCATATGATCAAGGAGTCAAACAAAGGGTGCAACTGCTCGAAGGAGTCATAATTAATTACCATACACACATATCAAAGTAAAAAGTAAGAGGCGTCTATTTTATGTTTAATGCATAAGACCCACCGCCATTTAAATGCCAACATGTATAGGAGGCGGATAGTCTAAATAGGGGTCATTTGGCAAATAATTTCTCACATCTGAAATTCACAGGACATTCCTGCAGGACATTCCAAATTTTGGTCAGTTTCTTGTTTTTAATAACGACAGGTGGAAAGTCATCGACAGCGTTTAACGCAAATGTATCAAATAATCGGTTCTGCTAGCGGAGGCCACGACTGCAGTACACGCTTCAGTGAGTTAAATGACACATTGTCCTTCCGAGCTGGGGTGACCAATTCCGAAATTAGAGTTGATCTAAATGTTGAGATCTATTTTCGAGCCAAGGTTAATTTTAGCCCTGACAGCTCAATTAAATCATTATTAAACATCTTTTCAACAAGGAAAAATAAAAATATGTTTGAAATTGTACCCGAAATTACACTTACAACTCAAACACAAAACACATTCCACATACGAGCCCATGGAAGAAATCACGGCGGCCATGATGTAAACATAATTGAATCCATCGTACCATTTGCTATTGAAATAGCGATTGGCTGACATGGCGAGATTTAGCCAATGGAAAATAGTGTTACAGCTGGCAAAAGCACTTGTGAACGCCCGGACTATTTAAACCGTTCCAAACCATATTGTTTATGCACCATGTCGGAAATTGCATCGTTTACTGTTATAACTACAGACTCGTGCTAAAAATATTCGTCATTTTGCAATCTGTGTTGCGCTCTTTGAAAATTAAGACAGTTTAGCGTTGTCATTGTGCGCTGCATTCGACACAAACATCTGTTGTTTATACACGTGACTATCACGTGATAAGCTAAACCTGTCGTCTGCTCTCTTATTTCCGGTGTTTTTACTGTTGACGAGATGGCTCGCAAAAATAAGAACTCGACACTGACACCAAACAATTAATAGTCAGATTAAATCAGGAAGGACAAAAATCTCGTGACTAGTGTTCACAGCGTTGTTGAAGAACTTCGTGTGACTGGAAGTGTGGAAAATCGGCCTCGAAACATTCATCGTTATCAAACTGGGACAAGACCTCGGTTTTTCGAATGGTGAAAAATAATCGCAAGTCAACTTTGACGGACAAAACCACCAAAATTAATGATAATATGAATCACCCTGTGTCTAGGAGGAATGTACTGCAGTACAGAGAACACAATGAAGGTTCACAATCACAGGCGAATTGTTAAAATGAAGATGGTTGTGAGAAATAAATCGTATCTAAACGAGTGGCTTGGTGTAAGGAACGAAAGGCATGGACTGTGGAAGGTAACTGGAATGTTATAATATTTTCGGGTGAAAGTCAAAAGGTTATTGGCAAAAGTAACCGTGTGTATATCTGGAGAAAGGCCGACGAAGTCAACCGCCCGCAATGTGTGTGTCCGTTACGACAGCATGTTATGGTGTAGGAACTTTAGTGCCCATTGAAGGAAACATAAACGCTCAGAAGTATGTTGATATACTGCATGATAACTTGTGGCCAGTATTAGCAAGGCACTTCCCCGACGAAAATTACCTTTTCCGGGATAACAATGCTCCCGTTCTTCGGGCCCGTATCGTTGGCACATACAAAAGAACAGAAAAGAACAATATTAAGTGCCTGACTTGGCCTGCACAGTCACCGGATATAAATATCATTGAAAATATCTGGTTGAATGTGAAAAGAGCGATCAAAACCAACACAGTGGACATCAGGACAAAAGAGGACTTGTTTGACACGACCAGGGTCAACCTGACCGCAGAATACATTCAGACGCTTTATATGTCAATATCGGATCGTGTGCAAGCAGTGGTGAAAATGAAGGGTCATTCCACCAAATATCAAGGTAAGACAAACACATGTTCTTGTTTAATCGCAGTTAATGAAGCGCGACCCGTTCTGCAAAATGACGTTGTCAGCTCGGCAGTGACGAAACTTTTGGCACAAGAGTGTTGGTGCCATCAGTCCCACTAGGGAAAAGTGCATTTATCTTACACATTACAATTCCATAATATATTTACAAAGGAAAGGTAACCCTATTACTTTGAAACATTGTGCAAAGTTCGTAATTTTATGTAGAAAAGAACCTTCTTCTTTGAGTGGCATTTTAGAAGTTGGGAAGTACAGTACAGTATTAGACAACCTGCAGTATAGATAACAAGTCATTTTAGACGTTTCGGTACAGATTCCTGTACTGATCAGTACCGTTGTCAAGCAAGAAAAGAAACTTGTTTGTTAAGTAAGCAATTTGATATCGATCATCTATTTCGGGGCGGTGGGGTAGCCTACAGTATATAGTGGTTAATGCGTTTACTCGTCACGCCGAAGTCCCGCGTTCGATTCCCCACGTGTACAATGTACGGCGCAAAACTAAACCCACGCATCTACATTTATGTATTTCATGGCCGTCCATCGATACATTTTAAGCACTTTTCGAATTTAATTACGCCGTGTGTCTCATGGATGCCCAGTCAGTCCCCATTTTAGATACAATAAACTGTACTGTAAATGAATACCACATGTGGCATTTGGTCCATTAGTTCAACAAATGTCAAGCGTTATACGCCTGTTCTTTCAATGGGTACACGATAGGATTGGAAAGGTGAATTGAAAACCTCATGCCGAACAAGCTGATTCGGTTACATATGGTCTGCATGTCCTTGGATTTACGTGGTCAGCGCGTAATTCGTTTGTTTTGTTGTTTGTGCCGCACTCAGCAATATTCCAGCTACGGCAGCGGTCTGTAAATAATAGAGTCTGGACCAGACAACCCAGTGAACAACAGCATGAGCATCGAACTACGCTGGATAAGATGACATATGTGTCAGCCTAGTCAGCGAGCCTGACCACCCGATCCCGTTAGTCGCCTCTTACAACACGCACGGGTTGCTGAAGACCTTTTCTAACCTGAGGGAGTAATTTAAGCTTTCGGAGTGAGTGAATTTGTTTTAGCAATATTCCAGCAATATCACGAAAGGGGACACCAGAGATGGGCTTCACACATTGTACCCATGTGGGGAATCAAGCCGGACCTTTGGCGTGACGAGCGAACGCTTTAACCACAAGGTTACCCCACCGCCCCTTTAAGTTTTCGGATGTGGCCTAGTATCTCTTCTGTTATATATTAAAGTGGACCATTATTCTAAATACGTATTGAGTAACCCAAGAGTACTTCTTCTTGTTTATCCCAACAGAGTATTTAATTGACGACCACAAGTGAGTGTGTTAAAACGTATGCGTATACCCATTAGTCGAAGTAACATTATGCCATGTATGATCGTAAGCTACCAGACATAAGAAAGTATACAATCAAAGTTAATGTTGGCAAATATGAAGCAAGAAATGTCTATCCGATGGTAATGTTTCTGATAAACCGGAGAACATTTAGGGGAGATAACTCTGCTCGTGTTTCCATAGGGGTTTCTAATAGAGGCTAAGTCGTGTTTTGTATTTTATTTGAATTACGTAGATCCCTGCTCATATTGTCAATCACTGGAAACTTGTTTGACCCAATTGTTTTAAGATTACCATTATTTTACAAAGTACTGCGTTAAAGAAGAGAAATGCAAAATCTGTCTTTGTCATCATCATTCTCTTCCCAACCCCTTTGAATGAATTCTACTGAAACAATGTCTGCAGATTTTAGTCTGATGTCTCGAACACCTTTGCTCAGATAAGATGTCTCTCTCCCCTTGAATAAAGCTTTGGGTTAACAAAAGAAGACAGGTCCAGAATAGAAAAAGATACATTTGCTTGTGCAGACGACTTGTGTGAAAGTAAACTGAAACAAAGTATGGTTTTTAAGTTTGAAGAACTTTATCTGTGCCTTTAGACTTTTATACAAGGAACTTTAAATCTTAATAACACGAAAAACCGTACATGAAGACGGCAACACATTTTTACAAAAACGTTAACTTTGAAACGAAAATCAGCAACGCATTTTCTTAAAGGAAAAACAGCAACCAGATAAATAGTGAAATAAAACCTGTTTGTGTTCATATATCATATACACTGAAGTATACATTGCAGATAGGAAATAAAAAACAATGCCCACAAGAAAATTAGAAATATTTATTTTAACATTCTTTGAGTTTGTGCACATGATTTCAAAGACAAATCATTTCCAGTTCATGTAATTCTAAGTCTGTGTGTTCTGAAAGGATAAAGGCTGCTGCTCCTCAAAGAATACATAAGGCTCAAAATCACTGTCTTGACATGGCTCCTGCTTTATAAACGGTTCTGTATCAGAACTAACCATATTTTCTTCCCCATCTTCCACACATGAGCTTCCCTGAGTCCCAGAATTGGTCACCTTACTTGACCACTGCCCATTGTAGATGGAGCTACCTGTGTTGCTATGGTTACTCTCAGGCTGACAGAACTCAGCTGAGGAATGACGGTTTGGGACTGTTTGCTCAAGGTTACTGAACTGACAACCACTAGACATGGCAAAGTTAGAACCATTGCAGTTCCTCTGTGAGATCATCTTAGCAGGAAATGAAGCCTTGTCGTTCACACATGTTGACAAACTGGTATCATAAGATTTCATGTCACTCTTTGCAGTATTCATGACACAATCTGTCATGCTGGAACTTCCAACATTGCTTGAACTAGAAGGCCTATCTCTAGTATCACACTGAGTGTCTGAAGAGACTCTTGCAGATTTGGGACCAAAGGTTCTTGGAAGGTCTCCATCAGGTTCAAAAGCACTAGGATCAGGAATGACAATGGTCCTTCTATCCCCTGATCGTCCTGTAACGGTTTCTTCTTCCCTTGACACAGTAAACCTGACCGACTGAGTGAGGGTTGGGTTGAGACCCAGCTTGCCTGCAATGTTCTCTATGAACTGTTTACAGTGTTGCTGTACTTTGATCACCTGGAGGATAGTGGCTATCTTCAGGACCGCCTGTGCAGTGTTGATGGTGAGGCTGAGGGAGCCGTGTAGATGTAGTGCAGGAAGCAGTACATTGCTTCTATGGAGACTGAGTCAGGCATGTGGATGTCTAAGCTGGATGACAGGTCCTCTCTGTCCAACACTGTCTTCATATGGGGAGCTGCATGCTGACATCATAAGGGCGATGAAACTGCAACACATTTATACAAAATAATTTCCAGACTGAAGACACTTAGAAAAAAAAGATCAGGATACAAAATGTATCATGTACAGTCAAACATTGTGTCAAATATTATGTTGAAATTACTGAATCAGCAAAGCACAACTTTTATGTATATAATTCTGTTTATATTCTATAATAAACACACTCAAGATTTATTTACTCACTGGAACTTTCATTCCCTGTACGATGAACGCTGCATCACACATCTTCTGTTCCTTCCACATGTTGAACATCTGCTTAATGACATCATTTGAGTGATTGTCGTCAACATACCCAGATGTCAGGCCACAGTCAGGCTCCACAAAACTCCCCCATTCTTTCACCAAGAACCTGAATATTAAAACGTTAACATGAACTATTTACTGAAAACAGATGTATTGAATCAGGTTGTAAGTCAACAAGGCTTCTTGGAGTGGATCTACTTAACTTGCATCTCCCCAAACAAAATTGGGTTAAGCTAAGGCATGTAAGGAGAGAAGAGCACCGTACCCACATTTTCAGACTTCAGTTAGCTATGTGTAGGCTTAAGCTCATGTTGCCAGTTGGAACTAAGGCAATGAGTTTAATCATCAGATCACAGGCCCTTTCACAAACAAATACCAAATTACCAAGGGTAGATTATTCTCTGTGTGCGTGTCATTCACATGTACATGCTTTTCCATAAAAATCATCATCACCCCCCTAGCCTAGTCTAGCATATACCTAGACGACTTTGCACTATACCAAGGTTGATGTAGGCCTTGGCTGGAATACGAGTTTATTCATATGAACTACCCCCTAGCCATGAATTATGAACGGTCCCTAAGGATCTAATTGGCACAGGATATACGGAAACTGAGAGCAAACAGCCTGATCAAAGTAATAAATACTGTATGGGCTGCATCCATGCAACTGCACTGTTGCCAGGACAGGACATCCACTATTGGCATAATTTTATGGCTTCATTTTACCGCCTACGTTATCACCACTGGTGTACGACTGACTTGATTGACTTAGTCTGATTCCTGGCTGCATCACCGCCCACTTGTGCCATGGTAAAATCTGAGTAGCCTGGCTCTTCCTTTACTTGACTGAAGTACATGTAATTTGTACTCTGTACATCTACATGTTTTAGTTGAGCTGCAGATGTTTCCGTGAATGTCTTTTGCTTCTTGGCTGGCTTTTGAATCACTTGGTGCGGTGCTACCCGCATGTTTCCGTGGATACCTCTGGGTATTCTTGATATTTTGCCTGGAAACTGAACTGGGTCTGGATGTTCGTCAGTTGGACCATTGCCACCGACGAAATGTTTAGAGCAGACATATGTGTATCTGTTAACCCGCTCGGGTGTCAGATCAACCCGCCCAGATAACTTTATCCATCGGAGGCATTTTTCGTGGTTTATGCCAGTGTCTCTTGGAAAAGAAATAAAAGTCACATTGTCTAAATTTTCTTTTCGGCTATCGCTTCTACAATCGCCGTAACCACAGGTTTTGTGCACCATGTTGCGAGTCAAGAATACACCTGTCCTTTCTGAGGCATACAACACGTACTGGCTTTGGGCTTGGACCGGAAGTCAACGAGTTGTGTCCCTTACTCGAAATAAAATACGGACACGACCCAATGAAATCCGCGTAAGCAAGCGATCTTCTGCCTTTGATCTGTGTTCGGTCTCTAGTGTCAGCCAAGATTTAGAATTTTGTTTGCAGTGATATAGATAACTCAATGAAGATTAACAAATACCTTTAAACCGCCGAGATTAGAATTATTCTCATTGAATACAATAGTATGTAGAACATGAACACGTTAAATAGATCAATTGAAAACGAAACTAGCAACTTTTTAAGCACCGTATGCCAATTAGCGTCTGCCACCCAACAAACTGGGTTTCGGTCCAACAAGGTAGAGAATCTCGTTGAAAACCAATGGAATCCCTTGAATTCTAATATTTGGCCGGATTATGCTTATGAAAACCTTTCACCTTGCACATTCGTGTAGTGTGTGTACAGTTATGTAGCTCAGTAAACATGTATGTATGTGTGTGTGTGTGTGTGTGTGTGTGTGTGTGTGAATGTATGATTTTCGCAACAATGAAGTTCAGTTAATCTTCTCAAAACAGCGACGACTCTTACTATTTCAGGCGAAGAATACAACACTGACTTACTCGTCACCTTTGTCACCCATGTTTTATTGTGTAAGCACTACACTTGTGTATTTGTCGTCATTCATTTGACGATCAGTAAATCACTTTATTACAAGTACCAATTATAGTGGTGACAGCGTACTGGACAATTCAAAATAACTCTACAAAATTAACACCTGTCCCTGAATGTGTCAAGGATGTACAACAATCAGCGGTTTATCATGAATATAGATGTCACATGTGCTATCACTTGACCGCCGCCATATAACTGGAATATTGCTGAGTGCGGCGTTCAACAACAAACCAACCAAGCTATCTCTTGAGACATGACACCTCTGACGTTTACACACAAAGCGAACACGGGTGGAAAGGCGAACAGTGCTTAAAATATCCCGAAAGGCTTTATACATAATTTTACATGAACAACTTTCTTTGTACAGATTTAGATGTATCGGATGTTGTTCCTGTGTGTGGATATTGACGGATATCTTCCTCAAACCACAGGGGCTTGTAACGCTAAAAACTGCCGTCAAGGTATCTACTGTCACTAACCAGGTATGAGCACTATATAAGGATCCTTCTATATAGTAGTCAGACCCCGTTAGTGACAGTACATTCATACCTTGATGTCAGTTTTTAGCGTTACAAGCCCCCGTGCCTCAAACAAGGTTACTCGTTTGGTTGTAATCATGATATTTTCCATAGACAGTTTCTCTCTGTCGATAGTATAGCCCATAGTAAGCAATTTCGTATTCCGCGAAGAAGTAACCGATCCATTTTTCGATGTTTTCAAACTTGGAATTTTGCTTCCCTTTAAACTTCTCAAAAACATTTTGTGCTACGCTTCGGCGGTGTTACATAGTGGCAAAAGCGTTCGCTCGTTACGCCGAAGACCCGAATTCGATTCCCCACATAGGTGTGAAGCCTATTTCTGGCGTCCCCCGCCAAGATTTTGCTGGAATATTGCTATTAAAAAGCGACGTAAAGCTAAACTCACTCACGTGTACTATATAGCACGAAGTCCTTGAAGTATACCTTGATGGGTTCACCTACTCTATCAAACTAGAGGCCAGACAAGAGGAAATTATGATCAAAACCGAGAGAATTGGTCCACTGTTGGGGACTTTCTGAAAGGCGTTACGGCCCTCTGCGATCCACCTGGATATCCGACTCCTGTCACGCTTGTCAACTGGAATGAGAAGAAGCTTAAAGGTCACATGCAACCAAAAAATCAAACATAATTAAAACACAATTATCACTTATTCATGACATATAATATACATTGCTGGTTATGAAAAAACATAAACAAAATTATAAGCGTACAATCGCAAATCAAAAGTGCAATATTGTGTACTTGGGTTTACTTCCCAAGAAACGAAGCAGCCAGGATACCGAACCCAGTCAGAGCGGGTGGGTGTGCACTCCAGTGTAACGGCTGGTTCATTTGCAGATGCCCGCACGGCTCATTGTGTGTGTATATATAGAGATCTTGGGTTTTGTAAATACATGCTCATTTTTTGTGTATAACATTTTGCAATCAATAGACATCATAACATGTCATGTGTTCAAGTATCACACCTGCCTGTCTGTGTAATTACATAATGTGACAGAGACCGAACTCGGGCCATAAATCAATGCGTTTTGTTTATGGTGTATAGCCTGATTGGTATTAAGTTCAAATTGCATGTGGTCAGTGATCGAAGTTGTGTATTGAATATTGTCATTAGCAGACAGGCAGGCAGACACACAGGTGTCAATAAAACAAGACATTGAGTTTTGTCTGTGACAACGACATATCTATATCACAGTTAGAAATTCTGTCAACGCTAAATAATGACATTGCTTTTAAGTATCGAACTGAGAAAGTGACTCGGTAAGAAGAACGTGTGGTGAAACAGAGAAATGAAATTATATAAACAGTTTATTTACTGTCATAACATATAAAAAGCTCGCGCCTAGGAAAATAGCTCACACCAAAACCTTCACCGAGTATTCACCGGACAGCCCGCTTCCAAGTTGCGCGAACCTATTTCACTGCGCACATGCTTATGAGCGCAGCCCAGCTGTTGAAACAAGTTTTCCCCCGAAAAGTCGGAGGAAAATTAGTGAATCGTTTGAACTCCGATTTCGCGCGTTTTTTCTTCATCGCGTTATTTTTCAACTTTATAAGTTGAATTTGCATTTTTGATGATTTGTTTCGGTAAGTCCATACCGAAAGGTATCAGAATCTGCAAAGTTGTGTTTTACGTTGCATGTGACCTTTAAAGTGTGGCCTTGCAGTGATGTGACGAAACATATCCTCTAAATACTTTAAAATATATGGTCTATTTTGTGTAGCTTGGTGATTAGATGTGCATTATAAACCTATCCTGTAAATGTGTGTTTTATCGTCTATTTTACTTTAGTGAAAGGTAAAAAGAGGTGGCCTCAGCTGTCTGGCAGCTGGGAGGTTACCGTTCCACAGGTGCCATACCTATGGCTTTGCTGTTGTCTATGTTCACCCCGTTATAAAGGACTAGCTGTTGAGGCTATTAAGCTTATCAGCTTAAATGTGTTGGTCAGGTGTGATGCAGAGTTAAAAGTATTCAGGATTTGTCATGGATCACTGAACCATTAGAACTGAACTCCATTAGGTAGTGCTTTTTAAGATATGACTGCATTCGTGAATCCCTTTCCGTATTCTAAGAAGCTATTAATCATGTTTTTACGATTATCAGTAACACGAGAAGCTAAGATCTTGCAGAAGTGAGGTGAGGTGAAATTGGGTTTAACGTCGTGCTTGGGAATATTTCGCTCATATGACGACGTGCATGCGTGTGTATGTGTATGTGCGGCTGCTTGTACTAGCCCAGACTGAAGCTGGTTTTATAGTGCTAGCCCACTGAGATACCATGCCGCAGTGAAGCATGAATACCCCACTCAGACACATTATACTGACTCCGAGCCGACCAGTCCTTGTTGTACCCATTAATGCCGAGCGCCAGGCAGGGACCAACAAATACCATATTTTAACGTCTTTTGGTATGAAGCGGTCGGGGATCGAACCCGCAACCTTCTGCTCTCCGGGCAGACGCTCTAACTACTACACCACGGAGGCGGTCCTCTTGCAGAAGTATAAAGGCAAAATACTTTATAGTTGAGAGCGCCTTTACATATGATGCGACGTTTCGGTATAGATTCTTTTACCGTTGTCAAGTATATATTGTAATGCTATATTTGGGATTACACTTTCTAGGTAAAGTACAGATTCTAGTTCTTTTCGTTGGGTTGAGTCCTATCCCGGACGCAAACCCACACTCTCAGAGTCAGGCACCTAATCGTCAGCCGTCGCGGCATCCACTTTCTAAAGGGCATTATTGTGTATTCGGTGTCAAGTACACCGTAAGTGTAAGTGGTCAATGTTTAGCTGAATGTTTTATGCTCATATCTAAAAATACGCATGTATAGGCGTAGCCATTCTTGGAATTGTGTTCCACATTAATAAATGAAGATAATGACCGTGAAAAAAATGGGACCGCTAAGCGCACCACAAGACGGCATGATCACTTTTGAGAAATAGTTAACATTTATCAGTACTTAGTGTATGATACTGCGACAAAACAGAAGTCTTTCTCCCAGACACAGATAATAGATTAAAAAGGGGTGCTACTCAAGTTTACTGATTTGGCAAGACTATAGATTGCATCAGCTCCAGTTTGTTTTGGGCTCCATTTTGATGTTTTTGTAGATAAATATTTTAAACATCTTTTTGAATGTAATTACTTTATCTATGGGACGAAACAGGACGACCAACCAAATGAGTATGTGCCAATTTAGTCTGTCTCACAGTCCCTGAACCACATTATTTTCCCTATACCGCCTAGCCGTCCCTGCAATGCTATAGCAATAAATTTGTGAAGCAAGTCTAGATTTCCCCAGGGCCTTAATCTCCCAACTCACTTGGGCTCCTTTTCAATTTAAATGGGTGTATTTGATACTATCAATATTATATTCAGGGACTTAAAGAGTCTAGTGCATCGGCATTGTCTCAGTCAATAGCCACAAGACCACATTACATAACAATTAAAAGCATGCACAAAGAAAACATGAAATTTGTTGTTTAACGCCGCGCTGAGCAATATTCTAGCAATATAATCGAGTCTGGAGCAGACAATTCAGTGATTGACATCATAAACATCGACCTACGCAACCGGGATAGAATATGGTCTCTGCAACAAGCACGGGTTATGTACAAAGTAAGTGACAACCCCCCTCATGTCGTGTACAAAAACAAATCCACCCCCACCCTTCCTATATTTAAAAAATATTATTATGTACAAAATGGATGGATTAATTAAAGTTGGATTAATTTCATACTCATTTTTGAAAGGAGGTAACGGCATACGTCGCAGATAAATTGGTGAAATCCAGTCTGGTCGCCGGGAAT